GGTGTTGCCCATCCACCCCCAGCCCTCTTCGAGATGCACACCACCAGGCAGCACTTTAGAAGTGGCTCTGTTGTCCAGAGGATCTTAGTTTGTAAATAATTTGCCCTTTCTTTTTTTCTAACACAAGTTAAACACTCAGCTCACTGCAGAGGACAAATGGAGACTCCGGCTGGGCAGTGGCTTTCTGCATTCGGGAGTTTAGTATAGAAATTGCATATAGGCTGGGCTGCTTTCCAAGTACATTTTCAACTGAGCAATGACATGTACCAAAGAACCAGAGCCAGAAAGCCAGCAGTTTCATCTGCTTTCCCTCGCTCCTGCCAACCTGTACTCCAGGGCCATTAATACAGCGAGCTTAGAGTCCCATTAGTCATTTCCTGTCCCTGATACTAATAAATTACTTATCTCAGTGGTCATTGTTACCAAGTGTAATGACAACTGAAACACAATCATCGTTTTTCTCATCAAAGTCAGCAAAAAAAAAAAAGAGGAAAGACGCCATGTGGCGCTCGACCCACAGTCACCATGTTTGCAACGCCGGCATTGCACCACTGAGAAGAAATCCTGCTGCCCCAATGCATAACTGAAAATGAAACTAACGTCTGAAATGCAAAAGAGGAAAATGGCAAAGGCCTAGGAGGTGGCTTTTGAAGTGGGTGGCTTTGAACTGGCCTCTGGCACATCCCAGCTCTGCTTGATTCACAAGCATCAGGCTGAGATGACTGACAGCAGCAGCGTGACTGGCGTGTCAGCGTCATCAGCGCAGGAAAAAATGCAGCACTTCTGCTTTGAAACCAAGCAGGTGATGCTCGTGATTGCAGCTGGCTCTTCGCTGGCCTTGTTCTAATTCACAGCGTCAACACATTTCAATTCCTTGCTTGGGTGAGATGGTGCCACCGTTCCCTGCGTGCAACGCTGAGACTGCCCGGGCGCACCGAGCTCCGCAGTGCTGCTCCCATGGGTGCACCAGTGAGCAGCTCAATAGCCGTCAGGGCGTACATGACTCCTGGTACATCCCTTCGCCTGGCACCCAGCCCAGGAGCAGCACTGGGGCTGGGGCTGGTGGCACCCCACTGAAAAACATCACAAGGGCAGGATGCGAGGGCATTAGCTCTCTGCCACAGGGAGGATATGTGCCGTGACCCACAACAGACGTTAATGCTCAAGGATTTCTGCATCATCTCTCCCAGTCCTACTTCACTGGGGTGGCAACAGCCCACAGCTGGTAGTAGGCAGGGCAGCAGGCAGGGCAGCAGGCACGCAGGGCAGCAGGCAGGCAGCCCCCTGCCTGTTGCTGCTTGCAGGTGGGAATAGTGGGGGTTTTCCCACTGCCCACTGGGGTCAGGGGGTCTGAGCACAGCCTAATGTGCGGGTGCTTGGGTGGGATTCAGCTGCTGGCTGAAGGCCCCAGAAAGGCACAGAGCCAAGTTTACACGCAGGTGAATCCCTGTGACAGCTCTGGAGCATTGCCAGGGGCTGGCTCACCACAGGCTTTCCTACTTTCCTTAGCAGGGGTTCATTCCCTTGCCTTCCTGCTCAGGTGAAATTCCCACCTGCATTCTCGGGCCAGCACACTTCCCTCCAGCCACCCAGGCCATACCATGCCCCAGCCTGCCACCGGATCTGGCCTGGCCCCACCATGGTCCCTGATTCTAGAATGGCTATTCCAGATCCCCTGCGAGAGTGGCCAGGTTGACCGCCAGCCACCCTAACAGCTCTGAGCGAGCTGAGGAGGACAATCTGCTGCCAGACGTTGACCTTGCTGCCTAAGGAGCTCC